TAGGTATATGACTCTCATTAATTACTCTAACTGTACATATGCTGTATCTATCAGCCTCTATGTTGAACATTTGTATAATTACTCTGCAAAAAAAAACATGTTTTCTCTATCAAACAAATTTTCCAGATGAGTTTGTAAAGTGTTCATGAGTAAGCCTCCTTTTGAAGTACATGTTCAAACTTCTAGAAGGTATGTACAGGTCATTTAAATTGGTGAAAAGGTGGAAGTACAGTAAGATATGTGAAAGTTAGGAGGAAGTTGAACTTCATTTGAGGACTAATTATTACTTACCTACAGGTGGGAAATCTGCAGGATGTGAGCGCACATACTCTTCTAACTCAAATAACTTTACTCTGGCCATATCCTCTCGCTTTTTACGGATTAAATATCCACCAACTCCAACTGCAAATCCAACTGCTAAATTTCTCGGATGTCCTATTAAAAGAAATACAACAAAATATGAATATTTCAAAATGATGGTCATGAATCTCTAACAAGAGGCCCAGAGGGCCTGTATCCTCTGTCAGGGGTTATATTTATATGCAATTCAGAATTGGACAACATCCTGTCATTCCTACAGAAGAAGAAGGATTTTGAGGAATTGGGTATGTTTCCCCTGTTGGGCCCCGTCCCTCTGGCCTCAAGGGGGTCAGACCCACTATTACATACAAAATTAATTTCCCTTCCCCACATGATGCTAATTTCAAAGTTGGTCAAAATACTTTCATCTCGACAGAAGAAGGAGGATATTAAAGCTATTCCTCTTTATCCCTATTGGGCCCTGCCTCTCTGCCCCCAGAGGGGTCTGACCCATTACTTAAAAAACAAGAGGCCCATGGGCCTTAACGGTCACCTGAGTCTATAGTATTTATTTTTGTTGTTGAAATATGTACCAATTTGAGTAAAAAATAGTATAATGTTAACTTAACTTTGTCAGGACCATGAGCTGATCATTCCTAGACCAATTTTAAGTGAGATCGGCCTATTAGAACTTAGTAGCAAAATAGCGGCCATGGCAGCCAAATTGTATTTCTGATTGACCCGAAAAATAACAACACTTTGTCAGGACCATGATTCGATCATTCCTACAAAGTTTCAGTTCAATCGGCCAAGTAGATCTTTACTTTAAGTTTGAAATAGTTTTCCAAAATGGCAGCCGTGGTGGCCATATTGGATTTCTGATCGACCCGAAAAATAACAACACTTTGTCAGGACCATGAGGCGATCATTCCTATCAACTTTCAGTTCAATCGGCCCAGCAGAACTTGACTTTAAGTTTGAAATGTAAAATGTTAACGGACGACGGACGACGGACGACGGACGACGTACGACGGACGACGGACGACGACGGACGAAAACGGATAGCAATAGGTCACTTGAGCTAAAGCTCAGGTGACCTAAAAAGGTGTTCTTCTTTTTCCCAAGGATGCTCCATACCAAATTTGGACAAAATCATGTCATTCCTACAGAAGAAGAAGGGTTTTGAAGAATTTGCTATGTTTTCCCTATTGGGCCCCGCCCCTATGCACACCGGGGGGTCAGATCAACTGTTTATACAAAAATAAGTCCCCTTCACCCAAGGATGCTTCAAACCAAATATGGACAAATCCTCATCATTCCTACAGAAGAAAAAGAATTTGCTAAATGACCCTTATTGGGTCCCAGGCTCAGACAAACAGTTAAACTATACAATTTAGTTCCACTTCACCCAAGGGTGCTTCATACCAAATTTGGACAAAATCCTGTCATTCATACAGAAGAAACTATGTTTCTCCTAATGGGCCCCATCCATCTGCCCCCAGGGAGGGGTGGGGGGCACACTCACTGTACATACAAAATTGAGTCCCTTTTGCTCGAGGATGCTCCAGACCAAATTGGGATGAAATCCCTTACCGGGTAATTTCTATGGTAGGAGGATTTTAAAGGTTTTACCTCTATTTCACCTATTGCACCCCGCTCTTCTGCCCCAGGGAAGCCACACCCACGGTTTATACAAAATTGAGCCCCTTTTGGCCAAGGACACCCCAGGCTAAATTAAGATAATATCCTTTTTTCCTTAAGATAGGAAAAGGATTTAAAAGGTTTTACCTCATTTCCCCTATTTAGCCCCACCCTTCTGACCCCAGGGGAGCCACACCCACGGTTTATACAAAACTGAGACCCCTTTGCCCAAGGATACCCCAGGCTAAATTAGGATAATATACCTTTTCCCCCTACGATAGGAAAAGGATTTTAAAGGTTTTACCTCATTTCCCGTATTTGGTCCCACCCCTCTGACCCCAGGGGAGCAACACTAACCGTTTAGACAAAATTGAGTTCCCTTGGCCCAAGGATGCTCCAGGCTAAATTAGGATAAACTCCCTTAATTCCTACGGCAGAAGAAAGATTTTAAAGGTATTACCTCTATTTCCCCTATAAGGCCCCGCCCCTCTGCCCCAAGGGAGGCCACACCAAATTGCAACCATTTATACAAAATTAAGCCCCATTGTCCCAAGGATTCCGCAGGCTTAATTAGGATACAAGAGGCTTATGGGCCTAAATGGTCATCTGACTACAAAGACTGAGCAGGGAGAATGGTAACTTTTCAACTTTCAATGGAATATTCTAAGAATTTGTTTTCCATGAAGGTAGTTTTGGTCAGCAGTTGGTAACTTTTTGTCAGTAAAGCTATCAGAAAGCATTTAAACCTAAATCTGAATAGATTTCTCCCTTTAAAGCCCTGTCCCGCTGTCAACAGTGGTTAAACCTGCCTCATTTATGTAAGAAATGATTGTTTCTAAATAAAGTTTCACACATAAATTGTTGTAATCTACTTTTTGCATTAACAAGCAGTGTTCAAAAGCAGGATTTTATTTTAGGTAATTTCCTTTCTTGGGGCACCGCCCTCTCTATCCCCCAGGGGTCAAACCAGCCTCATTTATTCAAGAAACAATTGTCCTCCCCCCCCCCACCCCCCCCCAATGATATTTCAGACCATATTTGGTTGCAATATCTATTCAGACATTAAGGAGGAATAGCATTTTGAAGCAAATGCATAGCTAAGTTCCACTTTCGAGGCCCAGATTCTCTGTCTACAGGGGTCAAATCAACCTTATTTATTTAGGTAATTTTTGCCCTCTCCCAAGAATGTTGCAGACCAAATTTGGTAGTAGTCTATTCAGGCATTAAGGAAGAGTAATGTTTTACAGCAAAATTTCCACAAAGTTCCCCCCTTTGTTTTTAAAATGGCGACCATCTTTCCTTAACATCCCCACCAATTTTTAGCTCAATGGCAGGCACCAGTGGAACTGGAGAATTTTAAAATGTACTTTTCAAGATGGCCGCCATCTTGGATTTTCGACCGACCCGAAAAATAACAACACTTGGTCAGGACCATCTCAGTATCATTTTAGGCAAGTTTCAGTTCAATCCCACTGGTGGAACTTGAGAAGAAGTTTAAAATAGGGTGTTGTTTAGGAAAACCATGATTGTGCAATCATGTTATAAAATGGCCACCATGGCTACCATGTTGAAGTTTTGACGGGACTGAAAAATAACAACACTTTGTCGTATTCCTTTCCTTAACATCCCCACCAATTTTTAGCTCAACAGCACCAGTGGAACTGGAGAAGAAGTTTAAAATGTGTTTTTCAAAATGGCCGCCATCTTGAATTTTGGACCGGCCTGAATAATAACAATACTTGGTCAGGACTGTCTCAGGATCATTTCAGGCAAGTTTCAGCTCAATCCCACTGGTGGAACTTGAGAATAAGTTTAAAATGTTGAAAGTTTACGGACGGCACACGGCGGCAACGACGGACGAAGCACGATGACTATAGGTCAGATGACCTAATAGGTCAAAAATAGATGAGAATCAAGTTTGCTCCCTTTTATTACTACATCCAGACTTGCTCAGGCACCAAAAGGCGCAAAATTGTTCAGACTGGCAAGGGACGACCCTGGTTTTGCAAATAACTATGATGATGCATCATCGTGATTTGCAAAACCTGGGGCATGCCTTTGCAGTCTGAAAAATTTTGGTCAATTAAACCAATTAGTACCCGTTTAATGATGAATTCTCTTTTATTATCAAATTAAGGAATAAATGATTATAAACATCAACTAAATAACTCTTGGGAATGTCTATTGTTGTTATGGAAATATTTAGTTTCGGTCAGGTACGTCTGCATGGACCCCTTATCAATCTACACTGATGCCGAATATTCTGGAGATCAGCCTCAGTTTAGAATTGCGTCTATTGCTTTTTTTACCTAGGTTCAACTATTTCAACTGATTGAACTGGATATACCCAAAAGGGCCTGAGGTTTCAGTACAGTCAGTGAAGATATATTCTTAACCGTCTTACGCGCCCCTGACACTGTGACCCAAAGTCAAACCGCAGGGTTTGTTACAAATGTCTGAAAAAATATATGCTATACTGATATGGGTGACAGCACACATAAACATAGTTTGTTGTGACCCATATCAGTATAGCATAAGTTATGTGTTTTTCACACATTTGTAACGAACCCCTGTGGTCAAACCACAGGTGCTTGACATAATAATAATCATGATGTAGCTCTTATCATATAGTGACCACCATCAACTTATTGAAGATTTTGTCACGAAAGATATGTATTTATAATACCAGTATATAGTATATACACATCATTAGAGTGTCAAACACATGTGTGTTTTCCAGCTTTTCCTACAATGTGATGCTGTCTGCTGGCTTCTTTAGGGCAACTCGTCCACATCTAAATATGTTGATAATTTTCGTAGACGAGTTGTCTTTACTCCAAAAAATCGTGTTTTGTGTTGATAAGAAGTTACCTCGATGCATTGGCACTCCTGAGTTATAGTTCCATGCCATTGAAGAACCATAGCCCACAGCGAAACACAACAAATCGATATAACCAGCCATCTTGACAGTACCGTTTGTCCTGTGCTTGGATGCAAAAACGTGAAGGACACGGTGAAACGGAAATATCTACTACGCATGCGTTGATATATGAGCAAAACATCCGTTTTAATATAAGCACGTGAAATGGAAAGACAATGTGTAATATTGTTCAACAGTTACTGAACAGATGTTTGACTAATGTAAACAAATCAACAATAGCAAGATGGAGGATGGAGGCGTTAGACAAGTGACAAAGATTTCATTGGCGTCTGCTAGATCTTGTCTATCAAAAAAAAGATATGGCCGAGCATTCGCCAACTTTTTGTTGTTTCTAAAACTCGCCCCTGAAAATCACGATGATGTACTAGAGGATTTCGTTATGACAATGAGACTTTGGACTGAGAGTCTAGAGAGGGAAGGCAGAATTGAAGATTTGTTCAAGTGTTTCGATCAAGCATGTGAAATTTTGCCCGACAATGAGTCAATATTGAACAACATTGGCGCACAGTTGTTCAGGTATCGCAGCAGACATACTTCTAACACCTAATTATATACAGGTCCTGATATATATGTATATGTAACTTATGCCATTCTGCGGCGTTCGTCGTTGTCAATTCAACATCAAAATGCATATGTCTTTCTTATAGCCTACTCCTGAACTACTGATCATATTTCAACTACAGGAGCTCGTTTCGATCAATAGATGATAATAAGTAAAAATATTTATGATATCATATGAAGAAGTCGTCATATAATTCAATATCTTGAACATGTTTACTGATCAATATCTTTTGATCGGAACATGTTTTTGTGTTTTAACCAATTTAGGTAGCTATGATCAGTTGGATATCCATCCAGAGTTGGGAGGATACAGATTCTGTTTCTTGCACATTTCTTTTTTTTCCAAGGGGACGTGATGTGGGTAGCACGATTTACCCAAAAAGACCCCAAAAACACACAAAAACACCCAAAAAACACCCAAAAACACCAATAAGACCACACAAAAACACAGACGACACTTAAATGATATTCAGTTAATATTATAATGTAGTCACCTGTTTTTTCGGCATCAACTGTCAATTCCTGCAATTCGAAATTACGAGAGTATGGTATATGTGTTACCTCCCTTGCATCGCGATGTTACAGATGACATCATTATTACATCAAGACTCACAGTCAGATTATTTGATCATAACCATTTATTTTGATAATCATATTTTAACACATATATATACATAGATTACAAACACAACGATGAAAATAAGTTTGTTAAAATTTGTGAAAATACATTTGCAGTACATAAAACATAAATGGTAATAAAAGAATTGTTGAAATAACTATTATTTGAACAAGTTGTCACAATTTTAAACAATCAGTTGATATAATAAAACAATTGTATATGGAAGTGTGTAATGAAAACGTTATAATACAAATAAAACGAAATCAACAAGTATAATATAAAATGAAAAAAATAAACCATATAAGCGGATCTAGTTTACTTATACACGTGTAAGTGAACTAGATCCGCTTATATGGTTATTTTTTGGAAAGATAAATATCCCAAGAGATATCTTCCACGTAAATAATGGAAAAAACATATATCCTAAATACTTGGAATTTAAACAACACTATAAAATAACCTAAGGAAAATGGCGGATGAAGAATGTATGACATTAAATAGAATTAAACTAATGAATGACACAACATGTCCATTTGCGAAAAGCAATATCTGAAGAGATAGCGGATCATGTTGTGATTCACCAATACAATAATCTATAAATATGTAGCATAAGAGAAATGGGGAAGGAAATGAAGACGTGACACAAAATTCCCTGTACAGTTGATACTTGTGACCCAATACTCATGGAACTGGCCTATTGTTTTTTTTTACTGTTCTCGATCTTTCAGATTTTTGTCTTTTCCTTTGACATGGCTTTTTGCCACAGTTTTGCTAAGGTTTTGGGCACAAGAAGTCTGTGCCTGAAGCCTTAGCAAAATTGCTTTCGCGGGTAATATTCTTTCTTTTCGCCAAAAAGGTTCTAAAATATACGTCTTTTTCTTTTTGTGTTTTTTTATTCCAAATTTCCTGGTCCACCTCAAATGATGTAGTTTTGCCTTCTAGCCTAAAGTTGCCAGTTCCATGTAATGCCCGTCTTAAATCAAGTATCTGCATTTGAGACACTAAGGCCATTTTTTCAACTAGCTGAGGTAATTTATGCTGTTTGAAATTGGCAACCTGTTTCAATCTGTTATTAATTGACTCCGAATTGTTGTTGGTCCAAAGAGCATTGACTTTCTTTTCCCGAAGAGGTGCCATGACATATGCTTTGATTTTGCATTCAATAACCAATAATGCTGAAACTTTGTATTTTTTTCAAAATATTGTTCAAGCTCTGCTTTTCTTGATTCATACTCAAGATCATCTTTGCTGAAAACGATTCCGTCTTCGCCAAATATGATGTTGATTATGTGTTGCCTGTCTTTTAAAGAAGTACCAGATTTTTCTAAGAACCTAATGATGTTTTCTTTGATATGTTTGGTACATAACAGGAAATTTCCATTTGGAAAGCAGTCATGCAAGGCATTCGTCATAGCACGCTCTTCATCACTACCAACAGTAACGGGCACATTGCCTAATTCTGCCCTAACATGAGAGAAAAACGAGTGGTATGTCTTCATTTCCCCATCCCAATGTAAAAACATTGGTCCTAGCATAATGGGATTTTCGCCTGTTTTCTTGTGTACCACACCCTGATTTTTGTATGTGAGCGTGGTCACAAAACATTTCCCTAGATTAAATGTTCTATCCACTCCTAACACACTACCACCTTCTCCTACACAATTTGACCTCAAATCTGACAGCTGTTCATCTGTATACAAGATTACATTTGGAAGTTTGTGCTTTCCATGTTCGATTTTTTGAATGCTTGGGTTTGTATGAAGTTGGGAAATAATTGACAGGACTTCATCAGCAATATTGCTTGTATTTTGGTTTTGGGGCTGATTTTGTTTTTTCTTGTCCTTGTTAATTTTATTTTTAATTTTATATGATTATGCGATCGTCCTTTTGTATGAGTCTTTATTTGAGTGACAAGGCTGACCGAACCATACTTCTGTTCACGTATATCATTTCACAATTGTGATTATTATGTAGATTTAAAAATATTTCAAATATGACAAAAAAGTATTCAATTACGTACATGATTGATAATGGCTGCAAATGACTTCAAGATAATTGTCAAGAATTAATGAAACTTGTCCATTAGCATCGACATTTATTTGCGACATGTCTTTGCTATGTTAGTAAGTCCCTAACCTATCATCCCTATCAATTAGTGCCCCAATCTGTGTAATACTCCTGCTGGTCGTTATGATCCGCAATGGTGATGCCATCAGCACCTGAGTTTGGCTTCCTTCCCTCACCTCGATCAAGAATTCTTCCGCCCAGGCAGTGTATGGTCGAAAGGGGGTGTACATGAGCAATATATATTATGGACAAGTTTCACCTCATTCACAGCCACTATTTCATATGTTATTACAAAAACTTCATTTTTTTTTCAAAACCATGACCGTGTATAAAAATAATCTTGCCGTTAAGACCTCTCCACTGTTACAATAATGACTAACATTTAGATTATGAGCATATCAATGTAAATATATCTATACAGTGAAGCCATTTTAATGTTTAATATGTAAAAACATATCTATTCGGAAGACCTTTGATCTCCACAAAAGAAGGTCTGACCTGCTGTCAACTGACATAACACACCTGCAATTAACGGCACGTGCCTAGAAATCACAGTTACGGGTGACGCTGTTACATGTGTGTTAGAGTGTTTTTTCGCGAATGGATAATTGGTTGAAGGTGTTCAGTATAATTACCCAATTGACGTAACACCTAAATGAAAGAAAAACATGCAATCATTTTACCGCGAACCACTGATTATGGGATTAATAGGTTTTTTTCCGATTGATTGATTGTTGCTAGTTTTACAACAATTGTACTAGTATTTTCTATATCATAAATGCACAAAATTAGGCTTCTTATGTTCTGCTTAAATTCATTTGTATTGAATTTAAAAAAAAGGTTAAAGCACGTCCAACATAAACATACGTAATAACACTTTATTTTGTAATTACACTTTTATACAAGTTCACAGAAATGGTTCGATAGGAATTTTCATGATATGTGTAATAAAACACGCGAAGACTGAGTTTTGGTGATTATATAATAACATGATTTGATTCATATTTAGATTTGATATAACGCTAATGTAGGGGAATCCGCGATTTTTCGTTTGTGCGTCAACATCTGACGTTACGTCATCGGAACGTGTGGTTTCTTAGCGATTAACACTGCTGTTCATATACGTTAACACTTCAAAAACATTCAACTGATAACACTGGAGTTATTCACGTATAAGTAATTCGTAATTCTTCATTGTACAACATGTACATTAAACTTAATTACAACAAAAACTTCCAGTGTCAATTTGATTATCTAAATAATTTGCTCGTAATATGTTTGCGTGATGGACCAATTTTCCTAAATTGCACAATTCCTTCGTTTTCACAGATTATAGAAATATAACTAATTAAAAGACGAAGGTATTCGATTATATTTCCACGGTAGTTTGACATCGTCATGTGTGAACAGAAGATTACACAAGTAATGCTTGGTCAGGTGCCGTTGTAACAACAAACCCACGCACTCAGCCGCTGAGAATTGTTATGGTTTCCCTAATTAGTGGTAAGAAGTGTTTCTACAATGACTCTCGTTATGTCACAATAATGAAGATGTGGAGAAACCAATATCAAAAACTGGCCAATCAACGAATGATACGTTTCTTGATATGCGCGTCATATCATACAGATACACGGACGGACACACACTTATATATGTACCATTTAAGGGATTTTTTTTAAAAACAAAAGTAATAATTACAATCAAACAACCATGCCTACTTTGATTCTATATGGTAGCAGCTACATTGAAAGACTTCGGCGCCATTGTGATGGAGACCTATGTATTTCTGGCGTGAATACTGTATTCTTTGGCAGGGGTGGTTTGAGGACAGACAGGATGGACCAGCGATTTGTTAGGCAAGCCATAGCAACAGGTGCAGAATTTGCATTCCTCCACGTCGGAGGTAATGACATCTCACCCACATCTACACCAAGGGAGATTTTTGAAAGAATTGTCGAGTTGGTTTTTACATTCAATAATGCTGGAATGAAGAAGGTATGGGTGGCCGAAATCATCACAAGGGGAAACTTCAGTAAAGTTCCTGGTCTGACAAAAGAGGCGTATGAATGTCAACGGATACGTATAAACCAACTTCTCCACAAGAAATTTGGAAAGCACTTCGTACAGTTCAAAGACATTAAGTACCCGACTGACTATCTACAAGACCTGGTCCATCTTCAAACCAGTGAACTGATCACCGTTAATACAGGAATAAAGAAGTATATGTCCAGAATCCGAAGAATCATCGCCTCCACACAGAAGCATTAAGAGGAAATACGTCATAAAACGGCCCTTTTTAGGGCCAATAACTTTCAAAAAAAGCACCCAAATGATTCACTCGAAAAACGCAAAATAGATTGAAATAATCAGACTTATTAAAAAAAGTACGAATTTAACACTTCAAACAGTATCCTCTTAAGAACAAAGCACTTGTCAAATACAAAATAAACATAGGCTACCTATGTCAAATAATGTGGAAAGAGTGAGAATAAATACCATTTATCGATAAAACTTTTGTGAATAGGCAAACGGTAAACTTGTTGCAGGGGAAGTAACTCAAATACGTATAGTTAAAATTACTCGCGTCGCTATAACTATTCAATTAACGGGAAACATCATTATGTTACATAATGACAGGAAGCAGACATAAAAATATCTGAACATTTTTCATGTGTTTGTGTGTTTTTTTGGTGTTTTTTGGGTGTTTTTGGGTGTTTTTTTGGTGATTTTTGGGTGTTTTGGGGTGTTTTTTGGGTCTTTTTGGGTGTTTTGGGGTCTTTTTGGGTAAATCGTGCTGCCGCGTGATGTTGCCTAAAGAAAGTGTGTGGCCCTCAATTGCGACCTTCTGGGAGCAAAGGGGCAGGGCCAAATAGGGGACAAAGAGAGAAATCTTTAAAATACTGGGGGACGATGTATATGAAGGCCAATTTAGAGTGTGGCCATGTAAGTGCATAACTGAAGGCTGAGTTACAGGACCCAATAGGGAATAGACTATAGAGGTAAACTACTACTTCAGTTTGGGTGGAGATCAGAAATTATAACAAATTTAATCTTGCATTTAGTATCTTTAACTTATAAAGTCATTTTTGCCTCCTTGTGTAATCTTTTATCTGAAGCCAACTTTTATGTATGTGTTACCACAATACCAGGTATCTCACTGAAATACCATGCCGAAGGCACCAAGCACTACTCATCCTGTATGTCTATATACTGACATTGCATAAATTAATTGTTGCTGAGCCTTTTTTCACTGCTTCTCAAGACCTCTCTTCTTCCACTTTCCAGTTAGCCTTACGTTGTTTAGACTCCCTTTGGTTCTAATTTTCCTTGAATAGAGAATATACGTACATTAATTCTTGCCTTTTACATGAATTTATTCAACACTCATTGATTTACCATACTATCCGTCCTTAGAAAAAGTTTGTCAAGACAAGTCCTTCTAAAGTAAGTGACCAATTTCAACAAAAGTTTTCCAGATATGATAACTACTACCTGAAGTTGTGCATCCAAGTATTTTTTTTTTCATTCTGACCCTTTTAAAAGGAGTTATGGCCCTTTGTTGAAATTTTTTTTGCCTGTCTCCTTACTACTGGGCTAATTTCAATGAAAGTTTACAGAAATGGTCATTATCCCCTGATGTCGTGCATCAGGGCAGTATTTTTTCATTTCTACCCTTTTTAACTCATTCACCCCTGAAGACACATTTGAACCCCTCCAATTCGAAAGTTGGAACAGTTCATTATGAAATTTCAGGGTTGAATGTGTTAAGGAGTGTTGGCCCTTTGCTAAAAATCTTTGCCTTGACAACTCTTCTTTAACTACTAGGATGATTTCTGCAAAACTGGTTCATCTGGGCTAACAAGATTTGGTATGCAATTATGTTTTGGCATGGGGAGGGAGTACAGGAAGTATGTCAGTTACCTATATACTTAAATAAGTGTACAGCTAAGTGAATAAAGAAATAGTTACTGGTGGAAGCAAAGGATTGAATTGCAAAGCTTTCCCTTAGTTAGCCTTTAGCTTACAGTCCTGGTATATGCAGGAGTGGGGGGTATTAGGTAGCCTTTGGCTTACAGTTTTAGTTTTTTTTAGTGTCTATAAATAGTGTCTAAAAAGTAAGAAGATATTTCTGCGAAAAACTTATTACTGTATATCATTCATTATACATTTTGTTCAGTGGTAAATATTTTATTTCGTATTCCATTTCAATTTCATCAATAAAGTATTTAGAGCTTTTCATGTACATAAAATTTGAAAAAGAAAACAAAATACTTCCATAAATTTGAACTTTTGTGATTGATCTGAACAGGGTACCTGTAGATTGCTTTGTAAATGTGTAATGTCAAGGGCGTAGCTAGGCCTCTATTAACGTGGATTCATAACTGTGCTAGGGGGGTCCGGGGGCCTGGCCCCCTGGACATTTTTAAAAACAATGGTGCAATCTGGTGCATTCTGGGCATTCTGAGGTGCTTTATTTAGTACTCGAAAATGGAAAGTTTTAGGATCTTAAATCAACAAATAAACCCTTTACTCGGCATATTTTTTCTCTTAAATAGAGCTAAAATAGCAAACAAATACGAGCCCCGATTATGTTAATAATACCCAGATTATCTAACAGAAGTATAATTTTCTGTCCTTTTTGCCAGCGAACTCACTGTATTATTATATTTTCAATGTCAATGTCCATTTGTCTAACTATGCAACATTGCTCGTCCAGACAGACGTTCAGTGGACATAGTGGAACTCATGTAGTTTTTCACCCTTCTCATGATACTGAACTGCCTCTCAGTTGAGACTGTTGAGACCGGCATGGTAATAAGCCACACTACCAGACTTATGTAAATGTTGCACTAAGGTCAGAAGGCTTTGTTTCTTCCAAAGACCGGGCAACTTTCGAATTCACGTCTGAAGCTTTCACGATCTCCACTAAAGTCGTCATGAAATGCATCAAATATGGCATCTTCTTGAGCAGGTGTCTTCAATGGCTATTTAGTATAGAAACGACAAGGAACGTTTGATATAAGCATGCAGTCAAGTACGCATAAGGCAACTTTAGCTGAATTTTTGTTTGTTTGTCAGAATCATGTGGATTCAACTGCGTACTCGCGTATAGGCAGCTACGCGCCTGAATGTACATCTCCTTTATATTTTTACCATCAAATAAGAATACGTTTGTTAAAAGTAGGAGAGAAATAAGAATTTTATAAAATTATGTTTATTTCTTCTTCAGGCTTGGTTATGCAGAAGAAGCAGTTCTATACATAAGGAAGTCACTCCACCTGAACCCAGAATATTTAGCAGCAAGAGAAAATCTTGAAAATATTTGCAGCCATCTAGTTGAAAGATGGCATTTCCGCATGTTAAATGATGTACGTAGGAATTGTGCATACAGGTCTGCCATCCAGACAGCTGTCCAGTCTGGTTATCATACTGTCCTTGACATAGGTACTGGCTCAGGACTACTTAGGTAAGATCTAAGGTTTATATGTATTCCTAGACATAGGTTCAAGGCAATTCAGATAGTACGTAGCTATATAGACACAGGCTGAGGACCACACAGGTAAAATGTAGCTATATAGACACAAGCTGAGGACAACACAAGTAATATGTAGCTATATAGACACAAGCTGAGGACAACACAGATAGTATGTAGCTATACAGAAAGAGTCTGAGGAAAAGGCAGGTAATATGACGGTACATTTGTATATAGACACAGACTCAGGACAACACAGGTAATATGACGATACATTTGTATATAGACACAGACTCAGAACAACATAGGTTATATGAGAGTACATTTGTATATATATCAATATCCATTTCAATTTATTTCCATAAGTTTTACAACTTATAGGATTTTCAACAAATATATATGTAGCTATATATAGACACAGGCTCAGGAGAACACAAGTAATATGTAGCTATATAGACACAGGCTTAGGACAACACAGGTAATATGTAGCTATACAGACACAGGCTGAGGACAACACAAGTAATATGTAGCTATATAGACACAGGCTTAGGACAACACAGGTAAAATGTAGCTATACAGACACAGGCTGAGGACAACACAAGTAATATGTAGCTATATAGACACAGACTGAGGACAACACAGGTAATATGTAGCTATATAGACACAGGCTGAGGACAACACTGATAGTATATAGCTATACAGACACAGACTGAGGAGGTAATATGTAGCTATATAGACACAGGCTGAGGACAACACAGGTAATATGTAGCTATATAGACACAGGCTGAGGACAACACAGGCAATATGTAGCTATACAGACACAAGCTGAGGACAACACAGATAGTATGTAGCTATACACAAAGAGTCTGAGGAAAAGGCAGGTAATATGACGGTACATTTATATATAGACACAGACTCTGGACAACACAGGTAATATGACGATACATTTGTATTTAGACACAGACTCAGAACAACATAGGTTATATGAGAGTACATTTGTATATATATCAATATCCATTTCAATTTATTTCCATAAGTTTTACAACTTATAGGATTTTCAACAAATATATATGTAGCTATATATAGACACAGGCTCAGGACAACACAGGTAATATTAAGCTATATAGACACAGACTCAGGACAACACAGGTAATATGTAAGTATGTAGACACAGGCTCAGGACAACACAGGTAATATTTAGCTATATAGACACAGGCTCAGGACAACACAGGTAATATGTAGCTATATAGACACAGGCTCAGGACAACACAGGTACTATTTAGTTATAAGTTATAAGTTTTATTTATTCACTCCGACACACTTACGTGTGTAACAAGAGGTCACATACATATAGTAAGTATGATACATGGCGTGTGATGTACACAATTACAACATTGTACATAGCATAGATACATATAGAAGTACACAAATAGTACAGAAATTAAGTTAATATTTTTTCCAAGCTTTTCTATGAATTTACAAAGTTTTGTGTGAATTTTTACATTAAATATATTAAACAATCCTTGCATTTTTAATTGACTTGGATAAGTGAAATAATATTTTGGTATATATTTCTCTCTTAGACATTTAACTAAAACACTTTCACATATAAATAAGTAATGAAATTCATCTCCAATGTACAAATTACATAATGTACAGGTTCTTTCTTGACGAGGAATACCTAACCATCTTCCTTTTTCTATGGGTAAATGCATATTGCAAGAACGGAATTTACACATTATTTTCCTATCATTTGTATTAAGTTTAATTAAATATTTTTCTTGTTCAAACTTTGTCTTTAATATTGAATATGTTTGTCCTCTAGAGGAGTTAAGAATATTATCAAACCATTTCTGTATAAATTGATCCTTCAGTCTACTTTTCACAAGCCTCTTAATTTCGTCTTTTGAAAAAGAACATGTAGATTGATAGTACCACACATAGTTCAGGCCAGTTTGAGAAAAAATATCTTTAACATATGCGAGCCATTTAAATAACATAGTTCCATTTTCATGTAATGTATACATAAGCTTATAAATAGTACTTGATAACTTACTAGAGGTAATCAACTTATGCCAGAATACTATTATTCTACATTTAATTTCGATGTCTAGTGGGTATCTTCCAAGCTCACCATAAACAATGAAATTTGGTGTACTTTTTCTTACATTTAGTATATATTTACAAAATTGAAGATGGATTTTTTCTATAATATTTGTGTTTTCAAAACCCCATATTTCTGATGAATA